TTTTTAAAAAGCAGAGTGTTTAGGCATTTCCTATATACATATAAGGAAAACCAAGGACCCCCTTGGGCGGGGCCAATTTTTACCCCAGGGCTTTTATTTATACAAACTTGGTAGACACTCCCTGGAGGATATTTCCTGCCCTATATCTAAGCTCTATCTATTTGTGTTTTTAAAAGAAGATTTTTTAAGTTTTTACTATATACATATAAGGAAAATCAATGACCACTAGGGCTTGGCCAGTTTTGACCTCAAGCTCCTTGGGTTTTATAAAAGAGTGTTTTTAAATCTTTACTATATACATATAAGGAAAACCAATGACCCATCCGGGGCGGGGCCACTTTTGACCCAAAGGCTTTGATTTGAAGATGTTTCATGCTAAATATCTAAGCTCTAGCTTTATGTTTTTTTAGATTGTTTAACTATTTCCTAAATACTTATGAGATATAATCAATGACCCTTAGGGGTGGCGCCAATATCGTCTAAATGGCTTTTATTTGAACAAACTTGGTAGATTTTCACTTGAATATGTTTCATACCAAATATCTAAGCCTTAGCTGTTAGGGGTTTTTAAAGGAAGTTTTTCATAAGATTTTTTTTAGGTTGCGTTGCCATACCAACCAGATTTCTGCATGTAATAAACTTTTTTGTATATGTTTAAAGGTAATCACCAAAGGAAATTTCTGTGAAGTTTTGATAAAACTTGCTGAGCGGTTTATGAGGAGATGTCGTTGAAAGTAAAAGTTTACGACGGACGACGGACGAATTATTATCAAAAAAGACAACACTAAAAACAACAACAAAAACAGAATCCCTTAGGAACGCCCCAAACGTCAAAATTGAAAATGTTATAGCTTCGGTTTTACTTGATATTAAAATCTACAATCAACTGCCCCTAGCACAGGCCTAGGTACAATATAAATTCATCATACATGTATAAACATGAAAATAAAGAATTTTTCAAATAAGAATTTAGAACAACCACAGACGTGGTAATATAGTGGTTTTCACGAAACTTTTAATTTGACATGTAAGTACCAATTCATGAAAAGTGGCTTATGGTCCCAAAGTATACATGGGCCCTAAACGAGAGAACAATGGGCGAAACTAAATGAAATGGAATGTCGAATAGTGATCAGAGGTTATCAAGCTTGCGTATCACATTGAAGACTTAGAAAGTAGGCAAGATATCCCTAGGTATTAAAGTTTTTGATATTGGAACCAACCTACGAACAAAACGATAGAAAGGAACTAAATGTTCCACAAAGCATAGGCAATTAAGTCGTATTAAATGACTACATTACAAGAATCGTATATAAAACATTCTTGATTATATGAACCGGGCAAATCCCAAACTAATCAACAAATGATTTGCTCACAAACACAAACAAGAATATGTAAACAAAAAAAAATACAACTGATTAATCGATATAATCAATACAATTATCTTTAGGTACCTTTCTGATATCATGCGCAAATCCTTTAATGCAGCGCACCTCTCCGTCCATGTTTGGAAAATAACGATTGATGATCTGATGGTCAGCTTTTGATGTATTGTCGAAAGTTGATAACTTTCTAATGCTGTTTAAAACGGATGTAAACTGAATATGAACTGGTGTTCTTTCTTTTTCTACTGTACATTTCTCCCTGAAGCTTATACCGTTACAGAGCAGACACGCATAGTTTTTGTATAATTGTCTGTCAGCAATGACCTGCACAGTGATAGGCCAGAAATAGTTCTTGCAAATTTTTTGAAGAAAAGTGTTCGCATGTTCTTCATTGCAGGTGTCGATCATTGTGTCGTATGTACACTTTTGAGGTACTGCATTTACACTGATATTTGTAGTTTTATACTCGTAGACTACGTTACATTTGTTACGTTTTGTAAAAAGGACGGCCTCTATGAATACAAATTGATTAACCGCGGAAATGGACTTGAAAGAAAAGTATTGTAAATCACACACGAGCGTAACATGCCAAAATGTAGGAAATACATCTTTTTGCAAGTTACATTGTCCACAGTATTGATTTTTATATGTTTTCCTTTGATCTTCATCTGTTACTGGCACATGGTCAAGTATATCGAAGGGGTTGGTATAATGTATTTTCATTTCGCATTTCCTTTTTACTTCAATGTCATCAAAGTTTGATGGACATGATGCCACCATCATGAAACCGTCTTGATTTTGTATTACACCATGTTGTACTTTAACACATTCGTGTGTATCTGTTAACCGTGGGTTGACTTCGGCTTTTACAATATTTCTTGTACTTACTTGCGATTTCTTGTTATTGCTATGAACTAGATCTACTTCAGAGATGTAATCGGGGCAACAAGAACTTTCTTCAACACAAGTGTCGTCACACGAACATTCTTTGCAGCAAGGCAAATTATATCTATCAAATGTAAAAGTAGAGCTGTTTGATGTATGACACAAAGCAATATAAGGGCATAATTTACTTTGTTCTGCTATCAAACTAGACGCCAGATCTGTATTGTTCAAATTTGATGAAGATTCATTAGTAAGCATGTTGTTAAATCCTACTGTTCCAAGAATGTATTTGAAATAAACTAAAAATATATGTATTAGTTCCATTTTGTTCAGCACAATGTGAAAAGTAAAATAACTACTATGAAAGATGTGATACTTATTTATATGTAGACAATAAGCCTCTTGACTTCGTAAATGTATCGCATTTCAGTTTTATTCTTATATTTTGTTATTAATTAGGAACACCTTCCTCTTTAATTACCACGACTTTTAGGTCAAAAATCTAGAAAACTTTCCTTCACTGTTACTAATGATATATTTTCTTAGCTATGATTGATATTGTATCTAATAAAATCTGAAATGTGATATGTGTTTACGACCGTAATGAGCATATCCACGACTAACGATTTGTCATCTATCAATATGCAAGAAATAAGAAGTTGTAATAGGACACGTTCTTTGTTTATGATATTATTTACTGGTATAATGTTTATATAAACACATTTAGAAACTATTTCGAATCCCAACTGCAGCTCGTTGTTACTAAAATGTAATGACGTGTTTTTAAATACCATCTCTTATTTTTCTGTTGATGTAATCGCTTTAATTTGTTCGAATCATCTTTACTACTCTCACAATAATCAACATTGTATTGTGAAAGCGAAACTTAATTTAATAGGCCCGATATCTTCTTCTGTTTTCAGTGTAATTCATGTGTTTCACTTACGGAACGTGTAAATTCTAGAATTTTGAACAAAAAATAATATTCGGTTGTATTAAAAGAATGTATAAATCTTGAAATTAAATATATTTCAAATTTTAATATCCAGTTGCTATAACAAGTATTTGAAAAATATATTAAATAGTTTTTAATACTTGAAACATGTTATTCATATGTTATCAAGTTATCTCATACGACACATCACTGCTTCGACAATTTACATAACTGATTTACTTTCTTCCGGATAAAAATGTTTGCTTGTTTTCCAGGTAATCGGGTAATCGGTAACAAACAAACTTTTTTAAGTTGAAACTTTGTACATGTTTGCAACAGGTTTGACAGATGTCTCGAAGAACGCGAAAATATTATTGTTTTTATATTTTCATCCGCCAGCTTGTCACTGTTGTAACCGCCGGGTATGTCGGTACCCGGTATGTCGGTTCATTTATTTCATTATTTTATGTGCAATGCGTTCAGTTAGTTCGTTTCGGACTGTGAAAAGTAAAGAAGTTATGTCGAAAATTTAATAGATAAAAATGAGGGTTATTTTAATTCAAGGGTAGTAAAGATTGCTACAGCCGCTTCAATTCACTATTGCTTAAAAATTCGATATGTAGGGTAATTTAAACAAGACATTGTAATATTGACTGAAACTGCAGAACATTTTAGTGCACAATTATACATGAATTCGAGCCATTTTTTTTTAACTAAAAACGACTTGCAGTCATAGTCACTATAGCAAAAATCAAGCTGCATGCTTAAATAGTCAGACACATTCATTTCAAAAGTTTAGGATACCTTTTAGTGCTGAAGATTGAGTTTGACATTTGCAAATTCGGTGTATTATAGATGATGCGCCCGTCGTTATATTTCATACGATAGCTAATTAAAAAGAAAATATCTGTTTCTATTTATATTACTTTTTGCAGGATAAAATATTTCACAGTCGAGAATGTAAATTGATAGCGGCTCAAAATTAAACAAACATATTCATGATCATTTTTTTATATAAATTGTTTGTGGTCTTAAACATCTGTAAGATACTTACTTGAATTACTCAGTTTTATATATTGGGAAAAAAATTTGTTGTTTAGATGCAGGTTTGAAAACCGTGGTTATATATAGGATAATAAAATCTTCCAAATTTTGCTTTAACTTACATGAAGACATACTCACCTGCGCTTCTATAAAAGTAAGATTGTGCCTGCAACCAATTAGGTAGCACCCATTTTTAAATCTGACAGCACTGAGACTGACTATGCAGCAAAGACAATCTTGAATAATCAGTTTATTCATTTCTCGGCGGACAGTTCACCTAATCTTTTTTTTCGGGATAGGTTTCCAGTAATCACTAAATTTATCTATAAGTGGCTGACTACTTATCCCACATTATTTCTGAATGGGTGCAGAAGACTCTATGTTCTAGATCAGTTGCCACAGAGAAAGTATGCCTCATGAACACGTTAGACGGGTTGTTGAATAGACATACTGGTTTGAAATAAATCTCCCTGGTCCTTGATCACGTGACATTATGTATTTTGCCATATATATGATTCAATGTTTTTATTGCAGTCAAATATGGGAAATAAATATTGATTCTACGACTGACAAAAGCTCTTGTCAGATTAGTGATGTGGTAATAACCTCTTCATATTTTTCATTCCATTTAGCTATTGAAAGACGTTGCATTTTTGTTTGATTTAAATTATGTTTTTGACTCCCGTGCAAGTGATATACGCTAACTTAATAGATAGTATAAATGATAACGTAGCGCACACTGTCATATTAATTATAAAATTGCTACAGCGTGACATATTGGTGTTTAAGTAACAAGCAACTTGTTAATCTCATTTTACGATCTAACAGCATACTGGATAAATATGCATTTGGAGTGTATGAACATTTAAATTTCTTTAAAACGAGACGTTGGATATTCGTATAAAAGCAGGTAGACTATTTATATACTTGATAACATGTTAATGTAAATACTGCTTTGTGAATATTAACATATTGAAAACATTGAAGCTGAAACGGTTTTGTCCTTACACACGTTCATCTAGCTAAATAAAGGTAGGCGAGGTAAAACAATAAAATAAATGTTTGTGATTGTTTATTCGTTATCAACTTGCGTAAAATCTGGCCATCATCTGGCCAGAAGTTGTAATATATTAAAAGAATACTGGGTAACATGAAACATTTAAGCATTTAGTTTTCACTTAAGATTATACCCAGTAGTAAATTACACAGTGTGGATTAGTTTTCAAACAAACTAAACACTGCTTAAATCGGATTCGATTGCATTCGGTTATTCCTAATTTTATTGCAAGAAAATAAAACATTTAAACCGTTTGGATAAAAATTGCCTAGATCTTACAAATCAGAAACGATCTGGCTATAAAATGGAATGACTTTAATTGTCGTTTCAATGTTTAAACCATCGTGCCAGCAGCATTTGTCATCTCTTTGTTGTATGAACTGTCTATATAACTATTTTCTTAAAAAATGACTGCAAAGAAACATTGTCCACTTTATTCAATAGTTCTTGGCAAGACCCTACATGCATTATTGATTGTACTGGCCTTTTCTTACTAAGACCATTTTCTTTAAAAGCCCGTGAGCAAACTATAACGTATAATCGGCAAATTGCTGGTGGTACTTGCAGTTGCACCAATTTGTTGAATCATGTACTTTTTTTCCTTATATTGATGCAAACCCATAATTATTATAAAAACATCTTATTCGTGAAAAAAATGCACATTGAAAATGCTCTGGTTCTCAGACGTCAAACTTACGCATTGTATCTGTATTAAAGTACAAGACATCGAATGAATTTACCATCATTTCTTGTAAGATCATATGCTAGTCTATAATGTTTTATACGTAAATATTTGCTAATACAAATACTGAATTAGTTTTATACAGTAGAAAGTCAAACTGCTATATGATAGGAACAGATAGATAAACTTAAATGTAACATTAAATTTTCATTAACTATTTGCCATATAAACCACTTCAAACATGTGCATTAATGAAGTGAATAAATGTGTATATTTAAACCTTAGAATGAATACATTCGACAGTATACAGTGCAGTGATAAACATATTTAATGCATGCATACTGTACATACATTAACAACCTTCTTAATCGTAGTTTAAGCATGTATATTTATGTAAATAACCCTGCTGATTGCACCTGTCCCGCGTAAATTTAAATTACATGTTACTGGATGTACCTTAAGGTGCACGGATGGTGTCTTTATCAATTGTGATTTTAACATTATTGAGTGCCTACGAATAATGCCACCAAGATCAAGTCGGTGCCATTAAAGTGACTGCAGCATCTGTGCTACACTGGACGTGTATCCAACTCAGAATGATAATGCCGATAAAAAAAGAAAAACTGTTTTAGGTCGATGGACTTCCAGTGCCATTGAGAGATAAATAAGATTACCCTAGAAAGCATTTGTCAACTATAGGGTTCGGGGCTTTGTATTTCAGTGATTCATTTTTAATGCATTGTTTGTCCAAAAATTACATCTAAACAATGTTTGTATAACTTGTCTGTTTAGGCAGCTTTGTGTTGAAAAAATATTTTTACCATATTTTTGTCTGTCGATTACTTTTAGAAATCCACCTGCCTGTTCGTGTCTAATGTTTTTAGTTTGCTGCATTTTAATGCCTTACAAATCAACTTCTTGACATGTAACCTATGTTTGTCTGAGACAAATATCGATTTTCTTAACATAATTACGTAAAAACCACCACAACATTGAAATTTTCATTCATTATTTACATGCTGTTTTATGCCCATGGTCTTTCAAATATTAGAACTTAATCAGCTTACATTTGTTTGTCAACTAGAGGTTCGACTTATGCACCATTGCTTAAATATCTGACATTCTTTACTTTAAGTCTGACTTTGGCAGCTATGTTACAGGTTTAATGTCCCTGTTATGCGCTGTTTTAGTACAGTTGCTTTCAATCTTGTTTACTGTAAAGCAGTGTAGATCATTAATAATTGGTCATGTTGTTTTTATATAGTTTTTATCAGTTTTATATTTCGTTTTTATATCTGCCGCCTCCTCCTGCTTTGTCTTAGTCGTGCTATTTTCTGAAATCTTGTAGCGCTCCTGTTTCACACAGATTATTAAAAGTTGTTAAAAACCCCTAAAGCTTGTATTTATTTGATTTTCAACTGATATAACCACATATTAACTGGTATTTCTGTTAAAAAATGCCCATTTTTCAACTTCACTCATGTGTTATCTTATATTCTTTACAAAAAAAAACTGACCCACAGCAGTACGGTGTTTTCAGAGTACCATAATTGTATTTTATGTCATCAATCTTAAAAAAAAAGTTATGTTGTTGGACCCTTATGCTTAACAAAGTTCTCTTTCCGCCTTTTTAATCTTTCTTCTCTTTTCAAATGTTCGTTATTAATAGTAAGATTCAGCATCCTTATTTGAATCAGCCAATCTATGGTCGGCTTACACCAAATGGTGCAGCATTAGCCGAAAGAAATGTCTGTTCTAAATTTTTACTTTCCGACGATTTCTCAGATAATTTACACAAAACAGAAGTAGTTATATATGCATAACTTCATTGTTTTGTAGACACAAACATATCACCTGTGAAAGAGAATTTTTAATCAGTTAGAAATATTCTATTTTTACTTAATGACTGTTGTTCTTTTTTGTTTGTTTTTTTGTGGGGAGGGGGTGTTGTTTGTGTTGTTTTTCCCAAGTATATTTATGTTAAACTTACGCACTGGTAAGATTTGTCTGACCAATAAGATAAACCTTAACTATAAAACTTTATAATCAGTGTCTTATTCAGTATAACGTGTTTTATTTTCAGATTATGTTGAACGATGAGAATTATACAGAACTAAGCGTGAAAGGATATACTGTTGTCGCCAACGTCCTCACGAAAGAAGAATGTGATCAGACTGTCGATCAGTACAAGGAGTGGCTATCACAGTTTAAAGATTGCGTATGGCCGTTTCCTGTTCATTCTCTTGTTAAAAATTATAATGCAGGAAATATGCACCCAACATGGTTTGTTAGGCTTAAGGCAAAGAACATTTTTGCTCAAGTTTGGAAAACGGATAAATTGTTATCTAGTATTGACGCAGTTGCCATTGGCCGTCCACCCGAGACTACCAACGAACAATTTAGTAAACCTAGCAACCATTGGTTACATTTAGACCAAAGCCCTTCACGTGACGGCCTACACGCTTATCAAGGCATGGTTTACTTGGAAACAGCTGATGAAGATGACTGGACATTTCATGTCCTCGAATGTTCACACATGCACTTTAAAGAATTTTATGAAACAATAGCCAGACCAAGGGAGGAGACAAAATTAAGAGAATATTATGTATTCACGGACGAAGAAGTTCAATTCATGGAAAACAAAGGATGTAAATCAAAACGCGTTCCCGTCCCTAAAGGCGGTATGGTTCTCTGGGATTCTAGATTAGTGCATGCAAATGCTAATCCTATTAAAGGGCGTGTTAACTCCGGTAGATGGCGTTTTGGTGTTTTAGTATGTATGGCCCCCGCCATTTGGGCCTCAGAAGAGGATATGCAGAAAAGGAAAGAGGTATATGATAAGGCAGGCATGACAACCCACTGGCCGTCACAAGGAGTTAAAGTTCTTGAGACATCTATTCCACCATTTGCACCAAGTGGTATTGTCTTCCCAACACAGCTTCCAGAAATCGCGAAATCGTCTGAAGCAAAATTGATTTCTGGGGTATTGCAATACGACTTTAATGATGGGAGGCCTAATGGGGAAGAATTGAAGCCAGGCTGGATGAAACATGCACTTATAAACGGAGATCATGTCATGATAAATAAGAAAACGTTACTGACATATGGAATAGTAACTTAATAGTCACAAAATAGCAAAGTTGTTGCTTGTCTGAAAATATAACAGACTAAAAACTAACTATACATTTATATTGACATTTGGGTTTTGTATACACATTCTCTCATGCTATAATATACTATACAAGTACAAATGTTGCTGCAATGCAGCAATTGAGAAGCTCCGCGCAAAAAGTGCGCTCATTACACAGATACCTTACCAAATTATTCCTACGCACAGGTCATGTTATATTCAGATTAAGTACTACTGTAGATTTTTTCCGAATGTTTTGTAAACCATTTTTTGCATTATTATACTTATCTAATACACTGTCCATAATTAAAAAGAGGGGAAAGATATTTAATATAAAAAAATGCTTTCACTGATGCCTACCTGGTAAGTAAAGTAATTCCATTGAATACAAACGAGACTTATAAGACTTGTAAATGTTATGTGACATGACTGTACTGTTTTCTGTTTGTGTCACTACTATAGTCAGTAACATAAGATGATAAAAATATCAAAGTCTGTTTTTTTATTATTATAATTGTAACAAATATACAAATAGTAACAAAAAGGACTTATATTATAATATAGTAATATTACATGTATTTTTTTCATGTCAAATTTAAAAAAATGGTTTATTTCAATACTGAAAGTAGAACACTCTGGGATGAAAAATGGGATGAATTTCAAAAAGACCAAATTCAGGTTTTTTTGTTTGTTATACACGCGTAACAGTGTGATACAGAATTCATCAATATAATAGAAGACTGTTACCCGAATTTTAGGCAGGTATGAGGAAATTCACTAACATCATATTCTTGCGAGTCAAAGATATAAAAGCTATTTAACATTGGTGATATATAAAAAAAAACTATTGGTAATTGATTTATTTGGAGATGAATATACTTTTTTGTTGAATTGCTTTAAAATCATTCATAAAAAACATAACACTTCATGTTCAAACTGCAGATCAAAGTTTCTGTTGTTATCAATGATGCTATCTATCTATAGCCTATGCTTAATGAGGGTCCATCCGCTCGTAAGGCCACAAAATGCAGCTTTTGCTGTCGAGTACGGACCCCGGACATGTCACCAGTCATACCCTTAAAGAGTTAATTTTGAAGCACAAATTGGTATGCGATACCAATGACGCCAATGAAATGTAACCTTATAAACTAAAGTTTAATTATTTCAAAACAACCAATATATCAACATATTATTATTAAACATTCAATTTCATAAATATAAATTAAGAATAATTATCAAAAGCAAAATTATTAAAGTTTTATGCCTGAAATCTTCAATATATTGACAAATTCAATCACTAATAGTAAACTTGATATGCTGTGTGTAAATGTAATTCAAAATGTAACAAATTATTATTTCATGTACTACTGAAAAAGGGAAATAACAAATTTATAACCTAAGTGTCAAAAATCAGAACATTTATAGCTATTTAAAGCTTTCGAATTCATGCACAGCAGATTTGCTTTCCGGCTCTCATTCATTATTATGACATACTGCGAATCACCGAAGGGGAAAGCAATATAATAGAAATCGAAAGGAGTTCTTGAATGCGGATTTATTTTTGGCTGTAAATCGATTGGATTAATTGATCAAATCCGGGCCCATGGACAAAAATATAGTAACCGCAAATAGCTCCGCGCCTACAGTTATAATGAAGATGAAATTTTAACCCTCTGTTTTATCTGTACATATTTGGTATTATATAGTATGTAATGAATTGATGTTATATTTTAAAAAAAATGATTTTAGATTAGAAATTGTAAATAAATTGGTAATAAGAAACAAGCGTCAAATAAGACAAGGTGTATATCGGATGTGTCACCGGTTTAATAAAGCACAATCATCTGCTTCCTTCATCAAAATACAGTTCAAGAAAGAAGTGGCTACTTAAAGTTACATTTAATAAATTTCATAAAAAACTAAATAGCGACATTTCATTAATAAATTGGGTTTTATATCGACTCCAGGTCTTATTTTGGTGTCCAAACAACCAAAATGAGTTTTATTAGCATAAAAATAGGTAACCTCATTGTGGCGAAATGGGAAATACAATTTCTGTTTGCATGAGAAACTCCGCCTTCGGATCATCCGTACATCAATATTAAATCAACAAACATGACTATAAGTGGCAGTCCTAATTCAACGGTATATTTCCGCATTGTAACGGGTGTTTTCATACAAATTTAATCTTTTTACGAGATTATTACTTTTACTGAACCCCAGGTTTAGTGCACCGTGAAGCTTAAACGGTTAAAGTGTGTTTGCACAAGAAAATATCACATTTGCTGTGTTCCGGATAGCAACTATAAAACTGTGACGTAACGCATACACGAGCTCATTATAGTCTTCATTTGCATGTTAAAATTCGTATACGAACTTTAGTGGTACCGTGGGGTTTCCCGTTTAAAATCCTAATTTATGAACAATATTTGATGAGATTTACAACAATACTATTAAACAGGTTAATGAAACTGTAGAATGTTTGATTTTTAGGCCGACGGCAAAATATTTTTACATATTTATTTAATGTAACTTTAACGGTATTGTTGAACATGAACATCCCTTAAAAATAATTGCATATAAAGGGGACTAAAAACAACACAAAATCAACACACACACAAAATAAAAAGCATTATTTTGTTACAGACAAATGGTTGTTTATGTTTTGCATGTCTTTATTGATAATTATTGTCGTAATCAATAAAAGGGTAATATATGCCGTGCGAGAAAAAGGTTTTTTTTCCCGACGAAAACCTTATCCGGGCCGATAAATGGTATGGAGGCCTATTATTCTGTTTTACTTGACAAACCTTAATATGAAACCTGTATAATCTGGATTTGATGTTTGACCGAGAAAGCATTCACAAACCTTAAAGAAACATTTTTTGTATCTCTGTTGTAGATATCGAAAAATGCTTCAAAACTTACTGGCACTTTATGAGTAAAATGCATTAAAATCATTTCAAATATCTTAAATAAAGTAATAATTTTAAATAAACTACAACGTAAAACCAGTTGTGAAATACTTAGAACTAAATGTAAAGAACTGGTTTAAAGAAGAGTGTCTTGTATGCATCGAGTTGAAATCTTTTACAATGCAGTGCATATCGGCGAATTTCAATCTCAAGTGGCTATTTTGGACTGCATGTACCTTCCGGTAAGAAATAATCTTCATAAAGCTAACTGTGAGATATTGTAGGCTACAAAACAAAGGATTTTTATTTACAAGCTATGCCATACAACGAGATATAAAACAATACAATAAAATGACTCTATTCTTTCATTTTAATATTATTGTGCAATGATAAAGATTATTGAATTATGTCATTAAATTGATGATAACGTCTATTCCCTGATTATCATCTATTTAAATAAATCCATGTATAGTTTGATATTATCAGTACTATTTGTTTTTATCGGTCAATGCAAAATTGTAACTGAAAGAGCTTCTTGCCAAAACCTCTCTATCAAATTGTACTTTTGTATATTACATAATACTATTTTTATCTTTAATAAATGTATTAAGATTCAAACACCCACTAAAGCTTTTTGCAATGGTTAGCATTTGTCATATATTGCATATGCATCAGAGCGAATATTTAAAATTAAACTTAAGAATGCTTCAAATTTGAAATTTAGTTTGTTTCCAATTATGTGCTCAACCAAGTAGACAGCTGTTCGTTCGTTTGTTTATCTGCTTTTACACCGGTTAAAACATTTTTGGTCATACTTTGGCATCTTTTCCAGCTAACAGGTAATCACACAAGTAATTACAAATTAAAATGCAAGTGGCTGACATCCCGCATTATGTTTAGGTTGAAATCAATTATGAAAAAACTCTCTTATTATATATTTCATCAAAGCTTATAAATGAAAGCTTTAAATACTTTAAATAACACTCGCTCGATGATGCATGGTAGGCTGCATAATGCCGGCTCGCCACGGCGAGCCGGTATTACGTTAGGATTTTACTGAGAAACAACCTAAAACTCCGAATACATCCAAAAATTTAATCGAAGCTTGGCTTCCAGCTTTCTATAAAAATTTATCTATCAGGGCTAGGATCCAAAATTATTTAACCAATCAAATTTAATCTTACATAGCGTCAAAAAACCTTCAATTTTCACGCCATATTTAAAAGCAGCAAGTATTGTTTTGAGCGCAAAGATATTATGATGATTAAAAATGTTTGTTTTCATGAATTCTTTTCAATAAATCATATTAACACTGACTTTTGATTTAGCGATTTCACCTGTTCCTCTGTAGTAAGTTTTCGTTTGGTTAATTAACATAAGTGTACACCTGGTTCTGTGCATTTTTTCTTTTTCCTTTTTTCCGGTCATTTTATCCTTTCCGGTATTTAGTGTATATATTTACTGGCCGGGATCCGGGACGCCCGGACTGGCCGGGATCCGGGATCGTATAAGATATAGAGGAAAAACTTATAAACTATATTTGTGTTGATTATTGTCGTAATGAAAGGCCATTGAACGTTAAGTTTTTTTATTGTATGTAATGAACGTTAAATTAATTAAACTTTGGATATAAATATATTTAGAGCTATTTATCAACAAACTTAAAAATCACAATACTTATAATTATATGCCTAATTAATTGGAAAAATCAAAGACTACATTCTTGAATTGGTCAAATCCCGGGATCCCTTTATGTTTTAATGCGTTCCCAGCTTTTCTGAAAACTATATTCTTGAACTGGCCAATTCCTTGGATCTCTTTATACTTTAATACGATCCCGGCTTTTCTGAAAACTATATTCTTGAACTGGTCAATTCCCGGGATCCCTATATGTTTTAATAGGATCCTGGCTTATCTGAAAAGCATCTAAGACTGGTTAATTCCCGGGATCCCTATATTTTTAATAGGATCCCGGCTTTTCTGGCTGAATTAATTGACAACTTGTGTTTACTTTAGGACTTGTGTCTGTCACTCATTCCAATACTAAATTTCATATTCCAACTTAACTTCGTATAGAGAGACATCTTTATGAATTCTACCTATCTAACATTTATTTGGTCAAGGTCAAAAGGCCATATAGTAAATGTGCATAGACATAGGGACTTCATTCTATCTGTTTACATGCATCTTCATATATACTCATATTCCTCTTTGTTAAACTGATAACTTTATGTCACTTTTATTTTGATGTTCGCTGAAGTCTCTTCAGCTAACAGAACTGTTATTTTTACATTTAAACGCACCCCCAGAAAAAAATTACGAAGCGAGTCGCTACTAGCTTTTTTAAAAGCTAACCTTGTAATATACTAATGCTGGTCTAGGCTTCGAATCACTCGAAATAATTATGTTTAAATCGTAGCATCTTATCACCAAATGCATGTAGCTGAATCGCAGATTCATGACAATTAAAAATGTACAAAAATATTGCACCTGTGTTAGAAACATTATTTTTAATAATTTAATTCTATAGTTTATTTTAGAATTCAGGAATAACATTAACTAAATGACACATAGAAATTA